TGTCATCCATCTTGCCTACCCTTTTTGAACCTTTTGCCTAGCCTTTTCATTATTTTCACCTGTCCTTGAAGTCCCTTTCCCTCCTCCTGCTGGCATGTGGATCTAATAAATTGATTGTATTTACTATTGATGCCAACAGCACCTTACAATTACTAGGGTTTTTTTTCTGCCCAAAACTTTGGTTGCTTGGGAAGGTAATTCCACCTTCACACCCATCTCCCTTCTTTCCATTTCACATGTTTCTGACCATTTTGTTCCTGATTTCCTTCCTTCTCTGCCTGGTCAAGGCTTTCCACTTTTATGTGGCATGCACTGATTCCTTCTGTGGTTCCTGCTCCTGTTTGTTTACTTATAGGACTCCTTTCCAGTCCCGTGACCTTTTTCCAATCACCTTTATGGGTTGTATATGCCAGATGATTTGCTTGGTTTATTCTTCCCCTTTTCTGGATATTGGTCATCTTTACTGTGTATCTTCTCATTAAATCCATCACCTTATCACGTCCATGGTTGCTCATTTCCATCATCAGTTGGAGGACATCATTTACTATTCATTTTCTTGTTGTACGAGTTTTGTCTTCCTCCCATCCCCATTTGCACTCTACAATTTCTCTTTGAGAGGCTAAGTCCTCCTTTTCTCTTTTCAGGGACATTTGTCACATTTTGGATCTCACTCAGTAGCGAATGTTGCCTGACCAGGTATACTTATTCTTAAATCTGCACTGTAAGACCTCTGTTTGTCATATACACCCAGTGTTGAGATGGGGTGGTCTACAAGACTACTTGTAGGTACACCTTGCCTTGTGGTATTTTGCTTCATAAACTAAGATGAATAAAGCAGACGGGGATTAATTCCCATCCCAAGTAATCCATGTATTGTAGGTCACAGGATTGGCCTGCTTTTCAAAATAAGATATCATGGTCACCCATTCCATTATCTCTGATGCAGCATTCCTCTAGTTTGTGGCAGATATGGTGATAGTTGTGTTGGATGTGCACACATCATTATGCACATCCTTGGTACAGAGGCATTTCTTCCCTACTAATTCCAATATCAGAGGTGGAAGTTAAAGGACACTTTTCTTACCATGGGCTGGATGTCCCTATCATGGTTCTCCTAGTGTTGGTTGAGGTCAATCTCCCATTTATGATCTGATGTGCCTTAGCCACCCATGGTCTCTTAACCCTATGGCAACCATGTGCTACGATTTGTAGCATGTAACATCACTCTCTTCATATTTCATTCCAAAAATAAAACTAGTTTACGAAATTGTTTAAGATTTGACAAGAATGTTCCTAAAAGTATGTAGTTTCAGAAAAATAAGACATTTAATTTTGATTTTTTCTACTATTTCCAATAAAAAGTTCATTATTTAATGTAGTTATTTGCACTCACACTTTGAATTGTTCACCTGAAAGACCATTTTTTCTTACAATTTTCACATTTCATTTGTATAATCTCTAGGACGTCATATATATCAATATCAAGTTTTTTAAGGTAAATATTTATATTTTATTTTCCATTTTCTCTTTTATATCACTAACTATATCTATTATCATCAACATACAGTACAATGAAATGCTTAAAATTAACAAATGGAAATATGTACATACCTTTTAACTTTTCATAGAAATGCACTAGAATAGTCATATTTTTGTTATATGTATAATACCAATAACTGGGAGCCATAGGGTTAATTTTAAATGTGTATGGCAGGATACCCTCCTCCCACTGCAGACTGGACAATAAAATTCTCAATGCCACCTGGTGATGAGCTGGAGATGCACCTTCAAACTGTCCCCTGGAGGTCAGTTCCTGGCAGATATGAAGATGTGCTCACATGATTAAGCTGGTGAAGATCCTTCTTTATTTCCACCCTTATTGTGACACAATTTCACAAGGGTGAAGAGCATACCTGTCTCAAAAGTGGTGTGGTCTCCCATGGGGGGTTTGCCTTCCATTTATTTGCACTCTTCATGGTCTTCTATTGGACACTTTCTAAAGAGGGATCATCTTCTCACTGGACCCTCCACCATCTCAGTGTGGGATTCTAGCTTTCTGTGAGGAGAGGTATGATAACATATCAGAAGTTAACATTTTCCTAAACTGAAAATGAATTTCCAATAGATACTTACCTCTGTTCTCCCCACTTCGATTGTTGGTTTTGTATGTACTGCCCAATTACGAAGATGCCGTATCATCACTAATGATTATAGGAGTTGTGTCACTCTCTCATTGGTGGATGGTTGTTGCACGATTATTTGCATGTTAGCATATAGATGGCTCATGTGAATGCACATAAGGGTAGGTTGGAGTATCAAGGCTCGTGGCGAGGAAACATTTTTGCAAATAAAAGACAATATAAGTTGAGAAAAGCTATTTGAAAGAAGAGCTAAGAATCTATCAGAAATACATTTACAGGAAAATGTTTATGTTAGTGAGTGAGTCCTGTAGTAAGACATACAAATTAACTCTCAACACAGGCTCAATCAATTTAACCAATCATGTGACCTCTTTGTACTCATTTAAAGTTATTATATATTTAATACTTCTAACTTTCAATATAGTGTTTATATCTTCACAACATTTGGCAGTCTTTCAGTTAATATTATAAATCTTTCAGATACAAATAATCGTATATTTTAGTGAAGTATTTATAATACAATAAAATATAGATTTTTCCATGAATAAATTCCATATTTGTTATGAATAGTCCATGTGCAAAGTAATTTTCATGTTAGAATTAAAAATAATTCATCTCAAAAATCTCAAATTTCCTTTGTGTAATCCTTAAAACCTCTTAAATGCATTTCAAACGTTTTTTTTTCAGTAAACTTTATAGCTTATATATTATTTTCTCTACCCTATCTCAAAACAGGATCTGTCAATTCAATTGACCCCAAAACCACGAAAAAAGAAAAGAGAAATAAACCTAAGCTACCCTTTTTTCTTTCTAGAATGAACTCAAATTGTAACATGAAACT